CATATGTTTCCACAAAAAGCATATTTTATCCCTTAGCCAGGATCAAGATTTGTTCTCTGTGTATTTCTCTTCATCCCTTGGGAAGACATAAATAATTTAAAATAATTGTTCTTTATTTTTGGAGCAATATGGTGAAGTTTCTTTTCTTCTTTCTTTCAGGTGTTAAACCTCACCAGGCACTATATTCAGAGACACCAGAATTTTGTGGTACCCCTCATTGAAAAGTATGGCAAAGAATGGGTCTCTGTGGGGTACCCTATTTTTCGACCCATATGGTGGCTCAGTCCTAATGAGCCAATCACCTTTACCATTGATGATGAATTCCTTATAGGAAATGAGGTAAAAATAAATAAAAATGGATCTAACATGTTTCAGGCTGGTGCAGGTGTCTCGCAGAATGAATATTGATGGTGTTTGACTTCAGGTTTGAATACTGAAAACTTCATTTTTCTCTGCAGAGTAGGCAGTGCTGAAGGGAAAAAAAGATTGGTATGAATGGTGGGAAAACTCAGATATTACAATGGAAGAAATAGTTCAAATGTGTTTATCAAGGTCAAAATTGTTAAAACACAGAAGAAATTGTTGAGAAAAAAAAATCAACACAGCATCTGCAAATGGAAGTGTTCCCTCACCAATCATTTCCAATTAGACACTTCCAGGTCTTTGAAGTCACTAATTACAGATAAGAACATACTTACTTATAATTCGACTTCCTCCTAACTTAAACTAAAGCATGACTACATTATGGATTGTAATGGCATTCCTTTTGCAATATAAACATACTTTTAAGTTACTTTTACAGGGACGGTGACCTCACCATGTATATGCTGATGGATGGTTCAAATGCTGTGTAGTGTTGTGGCTTGGACTGCTGCCTTGTGCTGGGTTGTGGGTCTTGAGGTGATGACAAGGTAGACATGAGGAGAGTGTGTTTCAAACCACAGGGCAGCAGTCTGTGGCATTCCGATGTTTTTTTCCAAGTAACTTAAAGGCAACTCTTCCCATTACTTTTGAGAAACTAGGAAATACAGATTTAATTTTAGATAGTATGATTATAATGGCAACCAGCCATATTTTAGCCCTGGAAGCATAATTGTAGTTAATTATTTTCAAAAAGTAATTTTCCTAGCTTTGGACACTTCCAAAAGGGAAAGCTTTCCACTGGAAACTAAAAAAAAATGTCATCGCCTAAAAGCCTCTTAGGAAACCTTGGCAGTAGGATCCAATGCTATATATTGTTAACTTGTGAAAATGGAAAAAGGAAAGTTGGAATTAAACCATAATGTTAATAGAGGAGGGAAGTCAGCAGAAAGGTCATCTGGTGATATAAGTTGAGGGCCATGCTAATTCATGAATAAATGAATGGGCCAAAGACAGGGTGAATAAGGACAAGATGACACGAAGTGATTCATGATAGTGAAATCTAGGGGATTATTTAAACATTTTCTTCTAACTGGAGAACATAAGGGAATAGAAAGTGATACATCTCAGACCAAAAAAGTCCTGAGTAGAGATGGGAGTATTTGTATTCGTATACAAATATGAATATCCCCCCAACAGGTGGAGATAACGCATGGGGCTGGAGGGTCCACTCATGGGTCCGTTGCTGCTGTGAGCGCGACAGAGCCTTCCTATTGCTCCGTTGCTTGCGATGGATTAGCCACTCTACAACCTGGCAGAGAGGCTCGTCAGCCCCCCTTCTGCCAGGAGTGGGTAATCTAACCCTCATTATCTCCACCTGTGTGTGGGGGGGATATTCATATTCGTATATGAATACCCCCATCTCTAGTCCTGACTAGCATCTATTTTAATGTTGTCCAAATTCACAACCAATTCACTTTGAGTTAATTCATAGCCCCTCTAATTCTATATGTAACCAAATATTTTAATGTATTTGTACAGGGTCTGAACAATGAAAAAACATGAACATGTGGAAAATAAAGGGGTGGGGAGTGAAACCTAAGATGTGACTACACTTTCATTTCAGTTCATACTTAGTGATCACACAGGGCTGTGGATTCATTTTGAGCCAGTGTCCACACACAGATATGGTACGATCCACATTTCAGCTCACAATGCCCTCCCTCCCTTTCTTCCTTCCTCTGTTCCCACCTCTCCCAATTCTTCTATGGTTCACTGTCAAGCTACTTGGTTTTTAAAAGACTGCACAGCATTATGGAAAAGGCAACAACTTTCCAATGTTTTTCATAACACACAGAAACATACAATACTACAGAAACATATTTCTACAGGAGCAGCCAATGCAAAAGAGGACACGTTCCTAAACAGAACTGCCTTCCTGATCAACATTCCCTCTAATTTCCACCACCCCCATATCCCCATGTGCAAGTCTGCCCCCCCACGTGGGGTTCCGTTGCGACCAGAAAAATCATTGCAGGTGCATATGGAACGAGGAAAGCTTTCGGGGGTGGGGGGGTGCGGAATCAAGCATATTTGTGCAGTCACGCATCTTAGAGGGAGCCTTGTTTCTGATATATCGGTTATAAATAAATCTTATACATACATATATATATATATACATGCCTATACATTTTCTAAGCGTTATTTATCAACGTTGCTTTTAGGTTCCATAAGCATAACATGAAATCCAATAGTATTAAAAACATGCAACCTTTGGGAAGTCACAGGCAAAACTTAAAATTACAGGAGTGTCTCTTTTTAAGAGTAAAGACTGTTTTAAAAGTAAAAAGAACAATGTAAATATTTCAAATTCAGTCTAAGGCAAGAGCTACATCTCTTAAAATATTAAAGTCATCAAGAATAAAAGTACAGTACATAAAGAAGAAAACATTATTTAGCTCTAAGCATGTTGAAACACACAGAAAAAAATATTTCTATAAAAGTGTACTCATTTAGCCAGGTTATAGATAAACTGCAAGTGAAATCCATTTGTTTATTCTCTGGAGCTGCTTCCTCTTATCTCTTGGATAAGGTGTCTCTTGCACCAGTTGCTTCTCCTCTTCTGATTCCTCTGATGAGAATGTGAGAAACCACCAGCTATTTATATATCCTAATTTTTATTGACTTAATTTTGCCACACAACAATGACTGTTGCTTTAAAAAGTGACATTTTTATCGCCACTTAACAGGCCTTTCTTTACTTTTACTGCCCAATGGCAATGAGTCCTGCCATTTAGCAGGGAAATAAACATTCTACATCACATACTTGCCCAGAAGCAAAACAAAATGTATTTATACAAATTACTTATCAGATGTAAATGTTTACTACTCTTGTGTATGGATTGGAGAGCAAAACAGAATAGATTGGCACTGAATCGCTTTCTGGACTGGGTTGTAGCAAACAATGTTTTCATGTCACACGGATAAAAGTACTAAACTTTTAAGGCAGTTTTAGGGCAATTTTCTATAACACCCCCTTCCCCCATAATTGTTCTAACACTCTGACATACAAGGTATCAGATCCTGACAGGCTTTTGTGGCATATGATCAGTTTTTAAAAATTGAATTCATTTGTTTTATAACCAGAGCAAATCCCATTTAACCATGCAGTATGTATGCTATCAACTACCTCTGGTCCTCAGTGTGCAAGCACCAGTTTCCTTCCTTCCTTCCTTCTTGTAATGGCATTCCTTTTGCAATATAAACATATTTTTAAGTTACTTTTACAGGGATGGTGACCTCACCATGTATATGCTGGTTCAAACAAACAAACAAACACCAGAGCTGGATTTTGAAGTCAGTTTAAAGTCAGTGTGTATGTCCTCTTGGGACAACTTTTATTCTAATGTGTTTTAAAATAATGTCTTTCCATCTATCTAAGCATCTGTTTCCAACAGTCTAGTCATTTAGTGTCAGCACTGAAACAGAATAGGAGAGTGCATCAGCATTCTTTGGGGCTATTTTAATTACTAGTTGGCTGCAAAATGAGAGCATACAGGAATCTTGTTCCCTGCTTCAACAAATATATGGACAAAGGACTGATCCTTAAAACAAACAAACACACAAACAAACAAAAACTATGGATCCCAGAACCTCCCAGCCATTCTGGTAATCACAGCCCCAAATTTCTGGAATTCTGCAAGTCATAATCCATACCCCCAAATGTTCTAAAGCTTTGGGAGTTTTGCCCTCCAAAGAAATCTCCACTGTGGCAAGGCAGAAAGTACAATGACATTTTTCTTTTCAAACCTTCCCTCCCAATCAGCTTCCTTCCAGCCACTACATCATATTTGTTATTTCTCACTAAATTCCCCTACATTTGACAATGGAATCACTGGATAGAAGGAGTGAGTTATGTGACATTTTCCACAACTTCTAAACAGCCCAGCAACATTCATATTTCACAGTGAGATTTACAAGGCTTTAGCTGTAGCATGGTGAAATACGGAACCTTGTTCAATAACATTTTAGAGCTTGCTTTCACTTCTGTTCTTCTGCCCTTCCTTCTATTTTAAACTTTTTGTAGGGCTTTTGCTATCCCACTCCTCCTGGAAAATCTATCACTTGTCTGTTTGTTCACTTTGAAGTCTACAATAAACTGAATACTGGGAAGGTCTGTAGGACATAGCAAAATGACATACTTTTGCCATGTGGTGCTGGTCATGCAATATGTGAGATTTTATGGAGTATTGTTAATTTATCACCTTGATTTATTAATATATGGCCCTGCCTCTCTAATGAAAAGTTGGTTTTTTGTGTGTGAGAGAAAAAAACTCTTACATACAGATATCAGAACTAACAAAATGGGAAATCTAATAAGAATGTGCATTCTGCCATTTCGACAACAATTGATCTCAGTGGTAGGACATGTGTGAATTTCAGAGGCTTGATGAATTATACAATCATAGAACTGCAAAGCTGGAAGGAGTTCTAAGGGGCACCAAATCAACTCATGGTAAAGCAGGAAATCAACAACTAAATGTGAAATGGATGTTCAATCTTTATTTAAAGCCTCCCATGATAGATACTTCCTCATTTTCCAAAGTAGTTCATTCCATTGTTGAACAGCTCTCATTGTCAGGAAATGCTTCTTCTTCTTCTTCTTCTTCTTCTTCTTCTTCTTCTTCTTCTTCTTCTTCTTCTTCTTCTTCTTCTTCTTCTTCTTCGCTGACATTTCCTTTCTTGTAATTTGGATCGATTGCTTCAAGTCCTCTGGAACCACAGAGCTCCATCTTCCACATGGCAGCCTTTCAAAATGTTTAAAGATAGCTATCATGTCAGCTCTCAGCCTCCTCTTTTCCAGGCTAAACATACTCAGTTCCCTCTAATGTGCTTCATTGGGCTTGGTCTTTTCCCATCCAGAGATGTGCTCTTGTTCCATCACTTTGGTGCATCACTTACATTCTTGTCCTGAGTAC